TGGGATCGACGCGGCTTTTAGGGATTTAACTGTCTTACATGCTCCACTTGTACAACGTCGATATTGTCTTAGACACGTTCGGAGTAATGTGATGACCGTAGGATCCATAATTTCATACAGTAGATCCATAATTTTATACAGTAGATCAATAATTTCGATACTGCACTGATTTGTGAAAACATGGTTCAACAATTGGAATCTAAAGTATAAATTTTAGCTCACCGAGATTTTAGAAATTATGGATCTACAGTATAGAAATTATGGATATAGATTCGTGCCCACCTTGGATTCGTGCACACCATGTGCATGGTGGGCACGTGCTCATAGCATAATTTGCCATTAAATTGCCTCAAGTGTTGCAATTTATTTATAGTTTATGGGTTAATAATATATTAATATTAATGTGCAGATCCAAGCATGTTGCGTATGTTTATAATCATTTTATTGTTATAATTATGCATTTAGAAAAGCATGTTTTAAAGATGAATTTAGCATATTATTAACTCATAATATATAAACTTCATTATTAAATATCATTCAATTTTGGATCCTTAAGTCAATTTTAGGTATTATGACCTACTAAAGCAGCTTGTTTGGTTTCCCCTTAATTTTGAACACATTTTAGTTTTATGTGTCTCTGGAACTTTAGAACCTATTTTGAACAAGTTATTTGCATTGGGACCTATCTTGGGTCATTAAAGTATGGATCCCATCATTTTGATTGATATTTAAATAATAATTGTAGCTCTTTTATTTGATTATAACATGCTTATTAAGTTTTAAATTATTACTAACTACCATATTTTGGTATTCATCGTTGGTAATAATATTAAGTTTTGCGTATATTTCAGTACTTAGATCATTTTCCATCCATGTTATAAATCACTTGGGCCATTGATGCTTATGAGCCTAATTTGAGTGATTAAGTGCTATAATTATTGTCTTGGTCTATTTTGAGACATTACGGATTTACTGATTTAATTATTATTTTGGCCATTAAGAATAACAAACTATTGTTTGAGTTGATTAATTTTTAATCTATCAATAGTTTTCAGGGTCTTAATAATAATATTAAGTCTTTAATTTTATGACAAAAGCAATATAGTTGGTATATTGTATGTATAATGACAATTTGGTTATTACCTTAACTTCAGTCTCCTTAAAGTATCATAATAGTCATGGTTAATTATTATGTGGTAAATTAATATTAGTATTTGGCATCCCTTAATTACAGTTTTGCCTTTATTATAATTATTATTAATTATTAATTGACATTAGTAATTACTGTTATTAAGTTTAGGGGCTAATATCATTTTATTACATTTCATAATAATTATTATTTCATTGTAATATGCTATATTTGGTATATTGGTATGATTACATACTTCGTTTTACATGACTATCAATGTTGGTAATTAAGTCATACCAATAAATTTTTAACGTACCATTGGACGCTGCATCGAGTTTATTGACACCGATAGTGAAGATGGTGAGAGTTCTAGAGTTTTTTCTTCCCTTGTGGATCGTCATCGTTTTTAGAGTATTTGGTTCACTGAAAGAATAGACATAAAAAAATATATATTATAGTATTTGATTAGTTTTTTTTTCTTTTTTTTTTTTAATTTTAAAGACACCATTGCGTTTATATCAAATGTTGTATACATATTTAATTAAGTATACATTTTTATTTGATCTCTCTCTAGGGTAAAACTAGGGTTTCAGAATTCTCTCTAGGGAAACCTAGTTTTTTGACTTTTCCGATCGTTTCTACGGCAAGAGCTGTCAGTTTCCAGTGGCGAGGAGCGTGCTGGCTGTTACTGACGTGAAGCATGGCAGACGGAAGCGCGGCAGACATGGCGGGGGAGAACAACGACGTCGAACGGTTGACAGCACGGTGGGAGGGGTTTGATTTTGTAATACCCACTATCTTGGAAATAAAAAATATACCTATGTTATTAAAATAGGTCAACAAGTCAAAGGTTATTAAAATTGATATTGGATGAATTTACTAAATTACCCCTCTTTACCCTTAAAGGTTAAGGAACCACTTTGGTCTTGGATAAACATTTCATTTGAAAGAAGATAAGGGGAGCTAACTAGAGAGAGATAGGGGAAGGAAAAACCTTGGAGCTTTGATCTCCATCTTCTTCAAGCTTAGATCTCAAAGCTATTGGAGTATTCTAGGTAAGTTTGACCTCTATATTTCACTCTTTGAGTTGGGTTTATCACTTGAGCCCTAAGATTAATGTTTGAAAATATTAGGGATTTTGACAAGGAGTATTTGGGCGAGCTTAATAGCTAAGATTTGGATGTTTTTAGGTAAGTGATTAACTTTTCTCTCCTTATTTTGGAAAACCCCTAAATATTATGAAATAATCTCCACTACTTTGAATCCTCATTTTATGGTTAGTATGAGTTAAAAATATTTTTGACTATGATTATGTTTTGGGTCTGAAATGCTAAGCTGAATTCTGGATTGAAATTGTATTTGGGTTCGTTGGAATTGTGATTTCGGAATGTATTTTTAAGCTAAATAAATTCTGATTGATACAATCACCATGTGTAGAGACAGTAGAGTGGTTTTATGGCTGTTATGCAGGTAGTAGGGCGTGGGTTCGACTCCAACAGCTAGCATATTGTGTGTGTTTGTTTTTATATCAATATGCCTTATAAAAATGGTTTGTTTGTTTGAAGTGAGACTTGAATCCTTAACCTCTTGTGTTTATTAACTTTAAGTTCTTTCCACCTAAGCCATTTCAATCCTTTTGAAATTACTTTGGTTTAATAAACCATTCTATGATGTTTAAAGAGTTATGTACTAAGAAAATTATTATTTTGAGAATGGTTTATACCTTGCATATTTCTTAGTTTGATAAACTTATTACCTATTTTGGAAATATGAACTTTGTTATGTGATTTTAAGCAAATGATTTTTGCTACATCGGGCTATTTGATTATAAGAACTATTTTGATTATTTGATCAAACTCATGAGGCAACCTACATTTTGTTGTTTGTTTTGGTTGGCTTGGAATGTTCCTAATTGCTCATTCCGAATCGTCGAGCTTGACTCATTTCGAATCGTCGAGTCTTTCGAATTATTTGTTGGAACGTTCCATCCGGCTCATTCTGAATCGTCGAGCCTGACTCATTCCGAATCGTCGAGTCTTTTTGGACCATTATACCGATAATGGCATGTGCCACATAATATAATGGTGGTTGTAGGTTGCCAATGAGTTATATGTAAAGGAATGATTGGTGCTTTTGAAAGTATTGTATTATGACATAATATTGATGCCCATGTAGCTAAAGTTTTTCGTTTTGGGAATTTGTGTATAGTATGATGGAAGTATGTTATGATTTTGATATAATTTAAGGATTGAGTTTTGCATCTAGTTGTTACTCTAAAGCTTTTTGTATTATATTGGGGCTACTTGATCCGGGGTTGAGAGGAGTATCACTTACTGGGCATTAGCTCATTATTTGTATTTTTTCTCATGTTTCAGAGTAGTTAAGGACATGTGAATAGCACGAGCACAAGTGGTGGGGTCTCGAAGGTGACTTTTGAAACTTGGAGACTTAGTCCTAGTTTTGGAGCTTATCATGGATTTTTGTTTATTTAGACTTTCCCTTTGACCCTTTGTATTTTTGGTAGACCATTGTGCTTGGTTTTGGTGCTTGTGATGCATTTTGGACATACTACTCTTAATTATAAATATCTAATAGTGGATTTGATGAGTTTTTGGGAAGAACAAGTCGATTATATTTTGTAATTTTGGGTTGTGGAATTATTGTATATTCAAGAGTTATTATGAAGATTTTGAGAGGTATGTATGGTTAGGCTTCGTATTGTTACAGGTCTTCACGTAACGATACGGCCGTGTCATGTCCTAAAAGTGGGGCGTGACAGATTTGGAGGATGAGCAGGATGAGTTCGTGCCGGAGGGGGTTGGAGTCGGGGAACTCCAGGTTGATGATGAGGAGACATGGGCTGTTGTTGGCAGGTTCCTTACTACGAAGCTGGTAAAATTGGAATTTATGAAGCAAGTTATGGCATCCGTATGGCAACCGGTGAGGGGGGTGCAGGTTACGGAGATTCAACCGGGACTTTTCTTGTTTGTCTTTTATCATAGGACGGACATAGATTACGTCTTGGATGGGGGTCCATGGGGTTTCGAGAATAATACTTTGGTTTGCCGTGAGGTGGTGGCCGGAGCAGTGCCGGGGGAGGTGGATCTGAATACAATTGATATGTGGGTTCAGTTGCATGGATTGCCGATGGGATATACGTTGGATACAGTACTTGAGCAGGCAGGGAATTTTATGGGCAAGTTTGTGAAACATGATGAGAGGTTTGCGGGGGCACCATGGCTTACATTCTACCGAGTCCGTGTAGCTATTGCGGTTGGGAAGCCGTTGAGGCGTGGTATGAAGTTGGTGAAACGGGATAAATCGGTAAGTTGGATAACTTTTCGGTATGAGCGGCTGCACAAACATTGTTCGTTTTGTGGGATGTTGGGTCATGTTCACATGTTCTGTCTGAAAGCACGTGAGAGGCCGACGCCGGTTGAGATGCACCCGTTTCTAGGGTTGCGGGCCGGGGGGAGTAGGGGGGCGCCAAGGGCGGTGGGGGAGAATTGGCTAGTGCCGGTTGGGGGAAACCGAAACCAAGGGTGAGGGAGGAGGCGGGGGAGGGTGTGGAAGGTGGCGGTGTATGGGGGCGGGAAGAGGGGGAAATAAGGGAGGGAAGTATGGGGGTTGGGGAGAGGGTGGAGGGAGTGGTGGCAAATGTCAAGCGCCGCCGGGGTGTTGAAGGAGAGGATGTGGCTATGACCGATGTGTCAAAAAACTTGCGAGTGGCGGGAACTGGAGCCCAGTCCCGCCCATCATCATGAGTACGATAAGTTGGAACTGTCGTGGCTTGGGCAATCCACGTACAGTTCGAGAGATTGTGGACCTTGTGTCCGGTAAGAAGCTTGACTTTGTATTTCTAATGGAAACAATGGTGAAGCGAGATCATGCAGAGAGATTGCGGGTGAGGATAGGTTTTGAAGGTTTGTTCTATGTGGATAGTGTGAGGAATGGTAGGGGACTGGCTTTGTTGTGGAGGAGGAATAATACAGCTACACTACTGGGCTATTCGAAAAACCATGTGGATATTGAGGTCCGTATGTCATCAGGAGAGACATGGCGTATGACGTGTTTCTATGGCTTCCCTAAAAGTAGTCAAAGGAGAGAATCATGGGAGTTGCTTAAATCTTTGGTGGGGAAATCTCCGCTTCCGTGGGTTGTAATAGGGGATTTTAATGATCTCTTATTCCAGCATGAGAAAAGGGGAACCAATCCACATCCAGATAACTTTCTCCGGGGTTTCAGTGAAGCTGTGGATGACTGTGGATTGCGTCAGTTACCTATGAGGGGGTATCAGTTCACATGGGAAAAGTATAGTGGAACAGATCAATGGCTTGAGGAGAGACTAGATAAGGTACTGGCAACGATGGAGTGGTGTGATGTGCATGGAGGGGCGGGGGTGGAGAATATAATTACTAGTAACTCGGATCATTCGGCTCTGTTTCTTGATATGAATGCACGAAAAAGGGGAGGAGGAAGGATTCCTAGGAGGTTCAGGTTTGAGATGGCATGGCTGCTTGATGAGGGGTGTAGAGAAGTGGTGGAAATTGCCTGGCAAGGGGGGAGGACAGAGGGGTTGTTGAATTGTCAGCAACGATGTGGGGATAGGCTGATGCGCTGGGGCGGAGACCATTTTCATAAGTTTGGTGAGCATATCCGGCGACTCCGCAGGGAGCAGGGGCGGATCCGTGGTAGGAGGGATCCGGCATCTTTGGCTCAGTTCCAGCTGTTGAATAACCAGATCTCCCAGTTAGAAGCCCAGGAAGATGTCTTTTGGAGGCAGAAAGCGAAGCAGCATTGGCTTCGTGGCGCAGATGCGAATACGAAATATTATCACAGGTATGCTTCTGCTAGAAAGAAAAAGAATTCTGTTTCTAAGCTGTTGAATGAGAATGGGGTATGGGTGGAGGGACAGGATATGAATAATGTAGTAATCAATTATTTCAATACAATTTTTGCTACTAGTAATCCTGTGTGTGAGGATTCTTTATTTGATGAGTTTGGGCCCCGTGTGACAACTGACCAGAATGAGGCATTGTTGTGTCCCTATGATGTGGCCGAGGTCAAAACTGCTTTATTTGCCATGTATCCTGACAAGGCACCGGGACCGGATGGGATGAATCCTGGATTTTATCAGCGGTTTTGGGATATAGTTGGAGAAGATGTGTCTGCTTTTGCTGTTAATTGTTTGAATTCAGGTGAAATCCCGGGTGATTTAAATGCAACTAATATTGTTTTGATCCCGAAAAAGAATGATCCTACAACTGTGGCGGATTTGAGGCCTATTGCCCTGAGTAATGTATTGTACAGGATTATGGCAAAAATGATCGCCAACAGATTGAAACCTATGCTGGGGGATCTGATTTCAGAATCTCAGAGTGCCTTCATCCCAGGTAGGCTTATAACGGATAATATACTTGTGGCGGCAGAGGTGGGCCACTTTTTGAATCGTAAACAGTGTGGAGTGGCTGGGTGGGGAGCGCTTAAACTGGATATGGCGAAAGCCTATGATAGAATGGAGTGGCCATTCTTGAAAAGAATGCTGGAAGTAATGGGTTTTGATGGAAGGTGGATTAAGCTGATAATGACATGTGTTACCACTGTATCATACACTGTGATGGTCAATGGCGTGAGTGGAGGCCAGGTGCAACCAACAAGGGGTCTCAGACAGGGAGATCCACTTTCACCTTTCTTATTTATTATTTGTGCTGAAGGTTTATCCATGCTTTTGCAGAAAGAGTGGCTAGGGGAGAGCCCCCCCAATATCACACCTATTTTTTGTTGATGATAGTTTATTATTTTTTAAAGCAAATGTCCAGGAAGCTATGGTGGTTAAGCGGTGTTTGGAGAGGTATGGGGAATTATCTGGTCAGTTGGTAAACTATAGTAAATCTAATATATGCTATAGTAAGAATACTGCGGAACAGATGAAAGAAGAGGTGGCCGAATGTTTGGGCGTGGCACAGGCAAGGAACTTTGGAAAATATCTGGGGTTACCCTCTTTTATAGAGAGAAATAAAAGGGCTGTTTTCTCGTATATAGAAGATAAAATCAGACAAAGAGTTTTCTCGTGGAACAAGAAATTGTTATCACAGGCTGGCAAAGAGGTGCTTTTGAAAAGTGTGGCTCAGTCTATGCCCACATTTTCAACGAGTGTTTTTTTGCTCCCTGAATCAGTTTGCGAGTCGGTACAAAGGGCCATGAATAGGTATTGGTGGGGGAAAGGGCCAGACAGAGGAATCCACTGGAAAGCATGGAACAAATTGTGTATCCCTAAAAAGTTTGGTGGATTGGGGTTTAAAGATCTGAGGAATTTTAATCTGGCAATGTTGGGTAAACAGGCATGGCGTTTCTTAACAAATTCAGGATCTCTGCCAGCACGAATATATAAAGCAAGATATTTCCCTAAAACTTCTTTTGTTGATGCAACGATGGGAAATAATCCCAGTTTTTGTTGGCGAAGTTTTATGGCTGCTCATGATTTTGTTGTTGCCCACGTCCGCAGGAGAATTGGAAATGGCCAGGAAACTTTGATATGGGGTCATCCGTGGTTGCAGGATAATCCTAGTCCACTGGTTCAAACAGTAATGCCTGAACCATTAAGGGATGCAGTTGTTGCAGGTTTAATAGATCAGCAAACAAAAACATGGGATCCTCATATTTTAACAGATTTATTTAAGCCTGAGGATGTGGATCGTATTTTGAGAATACCTGTGAGCCCAGACTATAAAGACACATGGTATTGGCATAATGATGCGAATGGTTGCTACACTGTAAAAGATGCTTATAGGCGTCTAATGGGAGAATTTAATCACACCTTGGGAGAATTTGATAGATGGATTACATTGTGGAAGTTGAAAGTCCCCCCTAAGTGGAAAACTTTTTTATGGAGAGCAGTGTGTGATATACTCCCAACCACAACAAATTTGATTATAAAGAGGGTAGATGTGAACCCAACATGCATGTTGTGTGGTCTTACAAATGAGAATGTTATGCACTCATTAGTTTTATGTGATTATTCTAGAGCCGTGTGGAATATTTCGGGATTGCCTATTATGAATATTTCTTCAACATCTTTCCCGAACTGGCTTATGACTGTTATGGATATGCTCACAAGGAGAACAGGTCAGACGCGTTGTGGGGGTCCTCTATTTTTTATGGATGGCCAGAAACGAGGCGGTCTGGCAACATGCGGTACGGAGGCTGGAGGTGGTGTGGCGCCGTGCAGCTGCGGGGGAGGCGAGCTACACGGCACTTCATTCTCGTCCAGAAGCGGCACCGGCCGGCGAGGTGCAGACAGTGGCAGCCGGGCGGACGACGTGCTACGTCGACGCCGGATACGATCCGGGGACGGGAGATGCAACCTATGGGGCGGTCTTACTCGATCCGAATGGTTTGTTCAAAGCAGCGGCAAACGGAAAACTCCCGGGGTGTTTAACTCCTCTTATGGCAGAAGCACTAGCATGCAAGGAAGCCTTGTCCTGGCTTAAAGACCGAAACGAGAACGAGGTCGATATTCTTATAGATTGTCTTGTCTTCAGGAATGCGGTTCATGCAGTAACTACACCGAACTTATCTTATGTTGGAATTGTGATTGAGCAGTGCAGGATAGCTATTAATAGTTTCGTTTTTTGTTCGCTTAGTTTTATTCCAAGAACTCTAAATTTACATGCGCATACTCTTGCTAGATTAGCCCATGATCAGGATCATTCTATGTACTGGGATTTAATCCCTCCTGACTCTATCATTCAATTTTTGAATTAATATACTGGTACGCCATATTTCAAAAAAAAAAAAAAAGTATACATTTTTATTTATAAATAAATATATACTTATATAAATAATTGAACTTAGGGGTGGGCAAACTTCGGTGAAAGTTCGGTTAACCGACCGAACCGATGAAGTTCGGTTAACCGTTTTCGAACCGAACTTTTTCGGTTCGGTTAATGGTTAAAGGAATGTCAAAACTTCGGTTAACGGTTAATTCGGTTCGAAAGTGTCGGTTAACCGAATTAACCGAACGGTTAACCGAAGTTTTTAAAATATATATAAATAAATAAATATAAACACTTAAATACTAATTTTATAATAAACTAATACTATTATACTAATACCCTAACTAAACTAACTTAGACTAATACCCTAACTAAACTCTTAGTTAATATTGAATACTAGTATACTACGCAGTAAGTCAGTAACCCACTAACCCTAAGCCCTAAATCATCTCCGAGACTCCGACTCCCACAGACCACAGACCACATCTCCTTCCCCCGACCCCCATCGTCTGATCGATCAGCGGCTCAGCGCTCCACCAGCGTCCGGCGGCCAACCACCACCAGGCGTCACTCCGGCGTCAGCGAGTCAGGGCAGCGTTCTTCTCCGTCCGTCTTCGCCAATCGCCTGCTCCGTCTGCTCGTCCACCGGCAGAGTCCTCCGTCTGCTCCGTCTGCTCGTCCACCGCCCACCACTTCACGGCAGAGTCCTCCAGAGTACTATACAAGGTATGCTTTTCTTTTTTTTAAATAAATATTTTCTAGACTATTAATAGTTTAATACTTGATTGTTAAAAATGTTAACAAGTTTTGTTGTGTGAATTTTTTTTTTGTTGCTAATAATAAAATTTTATTTTTTCACTGTATGTGTTCCAGTGTATGTGTTCTAAGCTCTTTTGACGGTTAATAGTTTAATACTTTCCACTTTTCCAGTGTATGTGTTCTAAGCTCTATTGAGTATTGAGTATTGACTGTTTCCACTTGTTCTATTAGGGGTGAATATATACATTGTTCTATTACTCTGTTTGTATGTTCAATGTTCCAGTGTATAGGGGTGTATATTCTTATTCTATACTTCTAGAAAATAAAAGGAAGATAAAAGAGCTGCATATGTTTGTTGTAGTGTATGTTTGTGTTTAATTGTTACACTGTATACTTTTATATATGTAATGTATTTCTATATATGTAATGTGTTTGATTTTTAATTGTTCTTTTAATGTTATTTAATTTGTAGATGTCAATGGAAGATATTTCTCCTTCTTTTACGGCTCCGTCATTCGATGAAGTTGCTATTTCATCAACAAGTGGGACCATAGATGCAAGTCAAGTTTCAAAAAAGAGAAAAACAATAAAACCAAGGTCAGAAGTTTGGTCTCACTTTGAAAAAATTACTTCGTCTTCCGGAGTTACATCATGCAAATGTATTCATTGTGGGAAAGAATATGCTTGTGATCCAAAGAAAAATGGAACCGCATCATTAAAATATCACATGAATGCATGCAATCAAAATCCCGATAATGTTGATAAGTCACAAGCTCAAATTGTTTTGCAAAATAAGGGTAATGAAGGGGAAGGGGTTATTTCATCTTGGAAATTCGATCAAGAAGCAATTAGAAAAGCCCTAGCAAATATGATTGTGAAGTGTGAACTACCCTTTAGGTTTGTGGAGAGTGAAGGTTTGAAGGAATTTGTTGAAGTTGCATGTCCTAGGTTTCACATTCCTTCAAGAACTACAATCACAAGAGACATTTATCAACTTTATTTAGATGAGAGGATCAAAGTGAGACAATTGTTGAGGAACTCATGTAATAGAGTTTGTTTAACTACGGATACATGGACATCTTTGCAAAGAATTAATTACATGTGTCTCACGGCTCATTTTATTGATGATAAGTGGAATATGCATAAGAAAGTCATAAATTTTTGTCAAATTTCAAGTCATAAAGGTGATGCTATTGGAAAGTTGATTGAAAAATGCTTGCTTTCTTGGGGGGTTGATAAGTTGTTCACTATTACGGTTGATAATGCAAGTGCAAATGATGTTGCTATTGGTTATTTGCAAAAAAAGTTTGGGAGTAAACATGGAAATATTTTGAATGGGAAATATATGCATATGAGGTGTGTTGCACATATAGTGAATTTGATTGTGAATGAAGGTTTGAAACTTTTGAATAAGTCGGTTGCTCGTGTTAGAGGGGCGGTGAGATATGTAAGGCAATCTCCATCTAGATTGCAAAGGTTTAAACAATGTGTTGAAAGTCAAAATATAGATAGCAAAAGTTTGTTGTGCCTTGATGTTAGTACTCGTTGGAATTCAACATATTTGATGCTAAATTGTGCTCAAAAATTTGAAAATGCTTTCTATATGTTTGATTTACAAGATGAGAATTTTAAAGATGATCTTGAATCGGGGGATGGTATTCCTATTGAAAGTGATTGGAAAGTTGTTAGGGACTTGGTAAAATTCTTGGAGCACTTTTATGAGCTTACAAATAGAGTTTCCGGGACTTCTTATGTTACTTCCAATTGCTTGTTTGATGAGATTTGTGAAATTGATTGTCTTTTGAGAGAGTGCAAAGCTTCGGATGAGAATGAATTTAGTTTGATGGCAATGAAGATGAAAGATAAATTTCACAAATATTGGGGGAGCATTGACAAGTTGAATATGCTAATTTTTGTTGCCATTATTCTTGATCCTAGACACAAGTTTTGCTATGTTGAATTTGCTTTGAAAGATATGTTTGAGGGTACAAAAGGTGAGGATATGGCAACCAAGGTTAAAGATGCGGTGTATGAATTGTTTAATGCTTATAAGCCTTCAAATAGCATTGTGTCATCTAGTTCCACTCCAACATCAAGTTCAAATATAGGAGAATGTCAAGCTAGGATGAAAAAGCGTATGCAAGAGAAATTTGTAAAGCACAAACTTCAATCAGGTAGTGGTGGGGATCAAATGTCGGAATTGGATAAGTATCTCAGTGAAGCTATGGAGCCAGTGACGGATGATTTTAATATTTTGTTGTGGTGGAAAGTTAATAGCCCTAGATTTCCTTATTTGTCATTATTGGCTCGAGATGTGCTAGCTATTCCAATATCCACTGTTGCTTCTGAGTCTACCTTTAGTACTGGAGGACGTGTTCTTGATTCCTTTAGGAGTTCTTTAACTCCTAGAATGGCTCAAGCTCTTGTGTGCTATCAAGATTGGATAAAAAATTCAACACCTTCATTGGATGTTTTTGAAGAGCTTCAAGAATTAAATGACTTTGAAAGTGTTGAAAATGGTATGTAAATTTTATTCCTTTTGTTTATAAGTTTACTTTCATCACACAAATAAAAATTTTAATATATTATTTATTTATCTTTTATCTTTTAGATTCTTCATGGAATGCAATGGAACCCACCTTGTGAATTGTGAGTAAGGTGTTTGTTCTTGGATTTCTAAGGTAAAAAATAATATTTGCAAGTAGTTGTATTAGTTAGTTTATTTATTATTTGGTTAAGTGGTTAATTATTATTTATACTTACACTTTTTAATATGTAGGAGTGATGGAGTAAACATCATGGACATTAGGATGGAGTGATGGAAAATTGGAAATTATGGGATGAACTTTGATTTTATTTTTGCATGTTTTTGTAATGTTGTAATCTTTATGAAGACATTAATTTATGGTTTGGACTATGGACTATGGACTATGGACTATGGATTATGGATTATGGACTATGAATTATGAACTTATGGTGTTGTTTTTGTATATTTTGATATGAATTTATTATGATATGTATTTTATTTTAGTTAGATTTATTATTTTAGGAGTTATTTTTAAGATTTTCAATTTTAGGGTTAAAAATTTCGGTTAATCGGTTAACCGACCGATTAACCGAAAAAAAGTTCGGTTCGGTTAATTCGGTAGAGCAAACTTCGGTTCGGTTAACGGTTAAAGAAAAAAAAACTTCGGTTAATTCGGTTCGGTTAAAACGGTTCGGTTAACCGAACGGTTAACCGATTGAACACCCCTAATTGAACTTGTGAACTCATATGCATCTTTGATATGTGATATTGGACGGTTGAGAATCTGAGGTGTGATGCAGTGGTGCATCAGTGCATTAATGATGTATATTTATCATGTCAAAATTATTATAAAAATCACAAGATCAATAATACATAATGTAGGTAAATGATGTGTTTAATTTGGTGTTAATATTTTTTGAAAACAAAATTATTTCTAAAGACTAGGAAATAACTTATTTCAAGATTTCCTGAAAATTACTATTCCCCATAAAAGAATTACTCATTCTCAATAATATTATTCTTCACCTTAAAAAAAAAAAAAAAAAAAAAAAAAAACCTATAGAATAGATCTATTATATTCACATGAATGCTATTTCATTTTCAACATATTCTATGAAGTGAACTTGTTGTAAATAATATCTACTAAGCACCTCAATACTGTTGCTTGTAGTTAACATTTTTTTATTTTGTTAAAAGTTCAGTCTAAACTAAAAAGTATGATGATATAGTAAATAAAAGGTTTATTAAATTTATTATAATAAATTTATAAAAAATTTATTGATGATATAATAAATTTATTTTCTGGAAAGTTGACAGAATGCTAATACCACTTCACTAGCTGTGCATGTAGATGGGCCATCAACCCATGGAATTATCACCCAGGACTGCCATTGTATAAATGTTGATGCTGCGATTTTCTCTGACAGAGGTGAAGGTGCGGTTGCAACTGTGGTTCATGATGGATAGGGGACATTTGTTGCTGCCCGGAGTCTAGTGGTTCGTTGCATTCAAGATCCACATCTTGCTGAGGCTATGACTATAAAGGAGGCTTTTATCTTGGGCAATGCAGTGTGGTTGGAGAAAGCTGGTGATCCTTTTGGATTGTCAGTTAGTATGTTCATCCTTGATGTCTTCTGCTCTGAATAATTCTTATGCTGGTTGTGTTTTCAAGGATTGTCTCAATATTAAACGACAGTTTGATTATGTGTCGTTTCGCTTTATTCATGGATCAGCGAATAAGCTTGCTCCTCATGTGTTGGCAAGGGAAGCTTCTTCTCAGTCTGGTCCTTGTAGTTGATTTTCAGTATATCCTTCATGTATTCAACAGTTAATTTCTGATAATTAATATATCTGCTTCTTACCTTTCAAAAAAAGATGTAACAATTTACAATAGTCAAATTTCTAGCTTTTGCCCTCTCATTTAACACAACTTACATATCTATCTTAATAGAAAACGAAGAATAATCATTGGGGTTGTTAATTCAACTTTTGAGAGAAGAAGAAAACAAAAAGTAAGAAATTAATATTTAGAGGACTAACTAAAGGCCTAGAACATAATTATGAAATTGCCAAAGTTGAAGGAATATTTCTATAATTAAATACTAGAAACATGATAATTGTTTGTTAGAAAAATTTATATAATCCAACCTATTGTGAATTAGAGACTAGATTTTAAATGTTTACTCTCTAATGTGTAACTTATTGGGTTTTATTAAAACAAAAAAAATAAAATTAAATCAAGTAGCGCTTATTGTGCATGTATTGTTTAATATTTAAATATTTTTTAATCTGACTTCTTAAATTAAATATCATTTTCCTTCAATTTATAATAGGTGGACACGGTTTCCACAGCATAATTTGCGTTAAACTGGTGGACATGAGGAATAATATAAACTATAAACCCTCTGTTTCCCCCATTAAATGCAATACCTCATTTTCTGTCCCTGGAAAAGCAACTCACTTTACAATTGGAGTTTGAGAAGTAAATATGTTGCTTTGAAATGTGAAAATATAATGTCTTTTTCTGTTTCCTAATTTATTTTCTCAATTTTCTGAACCCGCACTATTAAATATTAATGTTCTTAAAACTATAGGCTGACATGGAGGAAGCCAAAACTAAAGAAAAGGTTGATCAAGAAATTGTCAGTAAGCTTGTTGCTGAAAACCTTCAGCTTAAGGTATTTTCTGAGTTTCTCAAATATGGTTTGCCATTGATATTCTGGCTTGATAAGCTCCACTCACCGCTGGAAATTCATGGAATTTCCGACCACCTGAAAGTAATCTTAAATCAAGTCGAAAGCCTTGATCCGATCACTTTTGGTATCCGGAAAAACCTTTGTTGCTATTTTCGACCATTTGTTGCTTTCGGCTTGATTTAAGATCACTTTCAGGTGGTCGAAAGCCTTGTTCGGATCACTTTTGGTATCCGGAAAAACCTTTGTTGCTATTTCCCACCATTTTTTGCTTTCGACTGATTTAAGATCACTTCAGGTGGTCGGAAATTTTATAATTTACAGCAGTGATTGTATAGTTGTACAAATTTGAAGATTTATCTAGAGGGCATATAAATCTATTGTTTTTTGTTTCCAATTTGAAGATTTATCTAGAAGGCATATAAATCTATGTTTTTTGTTTCCTCTCTTTCTGGCTTCTATGCATGGTCTAGATTGGCTTGTTCAGTTCTTTGACTATATCAATAATATGCTGGGTTTAATGTACTGATTCTATTGAAGGCCTTAGTTAGCTCGCTGGAGAAAAAAAATGAGGAAGCCAACAAACTTAATGAAGAGCGGTTGAAGCTAATCGTTGAAGCTGAGTCCAAAATGATGGAGTCAAATACTGGCATGCAAAGGTTGGAGAAATTAACTTCTCCCATTATGCATCCAAGATATACATATCAACCTAATTTCAAGCACCATTTTTTTTTTTTTTTTGCATCTGATTTATTCATTAAAGTTTCATATTTATCATTTGAGATTGGGAGAACCTTAACGACATACTTTTTGTTCTTTTGTTGCATTTTTTGTTCTTCTGTTTGTGTCTTGTGACAGGAAGGAGAAATTATCTGATTTGGAAACTGAAAAATTGTTGAATTCACAACCTAGAAGAATGTCAGGACGTTGTTCTGTAGCTTCTCAGGTCAGCTAATTTACCAAACACCTTTCTACAATCGACAACTAATTATACCCTCTAATTAGCCCAATAAGCTAACAGCCATTTACCAAACAGGGTCATAATATTCTTTGCTGCTATTTCAATATACCACCTCTCCCCACAACTTTTACATTCCCATGCATAATTATGGATACTTCTTATAGGTTGACCAGGACAAAGCCAAAACCCAGGATAGGGCAAAACTACAAGCTACTTTGCTTCATCTCCAACAGGCTACCGAGCTACTCTTGAAGAAGGCACATAAGCCGAAGAGGTCAAGTTTGATGATGAAATTGTCAGTAAGCTTGCTGCTTCTCTGTCTCGTCCTCTCTTTCTGGTGGTCCTTTGACTATATCAATAATATGGTGGGGCTGGGTTTGATGTACTGATTCTTAGCTCGCTGGTGAAAAAATAAATGAGGAAGCCAACAAACTTAATGAAGATACTTTACAAGCGTAGAACATCAAGATTCACACAATATATATAATGCAAAATGAAGAGGAAGATAGCTAAACAATTAATGATATTATTAGGCATCAGACCATGTGATTTGGTGCTGGCCCTTATATATTCTGGTCTAACCAATGTATCAAAATTGTTCACATTGTATGCATCTATCACAAATGAGAAATGCATATATATATATATATATATATATATATATATATATATATATGTTGCAAAATTTATACAAGTAGTAATGTGGTAAATCTCAGGGCAGCATGCACTTCTTGTAATGACTGCTCAACATATATAGTTCTCCATCTTGGTGTGATAATCTTGGTGCTACTTATATGTGTGCAAGTCCCATCTTCCATGCTCGTACCAAGCACGTTGAGATAGATTATCACATTGTTCGAGATAGAATTGCTGCTGGAGATATTCAAGTCAATTTTATCTCAACAAAAGATCAACTTGTAGATATATTTACAAAAGCCTTGCCTAGCCCTAGATTTTCATTTCTTAGAGACAAGCTACAAGTTACTGGTATATCATGTGCTAGAGGGGGAGTATTATGACTAGTATTAGGACTTTGAGTCACATTATGACTACCTATCCTAGTCTCCATATGATTCTTGATTCTTCTTAGCTTGTATATATTCCCCTAGTTTGTGCCGTTGTAATTCAAGTTCATTCAATATAGTTTATATCGTTCTCGTCATTTTGCCACGTTCAGATATTTATCTTATACACATGCTAAAACCAACTTAAATAAAATAATTCATTAGACGAACAAGCCACAGTTCGTTGCTTCCGACACACCCAATAAACCAAATTATTACCCAAAAAGACCGCAAAACCACTCTTGGACTTCCGATCTTCCAGATTACCAGCCCAATCCGAATTAGAAAAAGCATGAATATCAACAGACACAGATTCGCAGACACGAAGACCAAAGTGTAAAGTGCCGTTAATATACCGCAGCCCAATCTGCCGTGGTGGGTGTATGCATATGCTGACATAATCTGTTAACAGCGTAAGACAAGTCTGGACGAGTTACTGTAAGATACTGAAGAAGGATCATCAGCAGGTTTAGCAAGCGAAACCAGAGTAGACACAGGCTTGCAATCAACCATACCAGCCCGCTTGAGAATATCCATCAGGCTCATCGCTTCCTGAGAATTGCTCTGGTCATTCAACGCTTCAATCAGATCTCCCAAAAGTTTGTTGAAGACTTTGCTTCTATGCCGCCCGATTATGGTTTGCGTTAATTGACCAAACTGCTGCGTCTCTCCTTGTTTCTCAATAATAATAATAATAATAATAACCACCACCACCATATTGTACTGACAAAAATCAAATAATAAAACAAATTTAATAATTAAAATAACTTAAAATTGAATAATATTACAAATTAAAGCTACTTATAATAATAAAAATAAATAAATAAATAAATAAATAAATAAATAAATAAATAAATATATATATATATATATATATATATATATATATATATATATGTAATTAGTAAATTATTGCAATTTAATAATAAAAAGATTATTTAAAATAATCATAAAATAATAGTTATCAAGTTTGCATTCAAGAAATCCAGTCTTCTAATATATCTAGCGCATATTTGTTGTGTTGGCAAAGATTCAGACCATTAGCAGTTCTTCGTGCTTCGATTCCCAGGAAATACTAGGGGTGTTCAATCGGTTAACCGTTCGGTTAACCGAACCGTTTTAACCGAACCGAATTAACCGAAGTTTTTTTTCCTTTAACCGTTAACCGAACCGAAGTTTGCTCTACCGAATTCACCGAACCGAAATTTTTTTCGGTTAATCGGTCGGTTAACCGATTAACCGAACTTTTTAAAGCTAAAATTTAAAATTCTAAAAATAACACTTAAAATAATAAATCGCATTAAAATAAAATACATATCATAATACATTCATAACAAAATATAAATAACATGAATTATAAACTCCAAACATCCATAATTTCAAATTAGTATTTATATTTATATTATTATTTTTATATATATATTAAAAACTTCGGTTAACCGTTCGGTTAATTCGGTTAACCGACCTTTCGAACCGAATTAACCGTTAACCGAAATTTTAAAATTCCTTTAACCATTAACCGAACCGAAAAAGTTCGGTTCGAAAACGGTTAACCGAACTTTGTCGGTTCGGTCGGTTAACCGAAAATTATCCGAAGTTTGCACACCCCTAGGAAATACCCCAGTGCTCCTAGGTCCTTGATTTTGAAAGTGTTGTCCAAAAATTGTTTGAGTTCTAAAATCAAATCCATTCTGGCACTTGTCACCAAGATATCATCGACATATACAAGTAGTGCAATGAAATTGTTTTGATCTCCTCTAGTAAACAAAGATAGATTAGATTTTGATTGTTTGAAACCAACTTGGAGTAATGTCGCACTCAACTTTGCATTCCACTGCCGGCTTGCCTGCTTGAGGCCATACAACAACCTCAACAATCTGCACACTTGACTTGGTTTCTCACTCTGTAAACCCGGTAGTAAAACCATATAAACCTCTTCATTTAGGTCCCCATCCAAGAAGGCGTTGTTGATGTCCATTTGATTAACGTACCAAGCTTTGGAAACTGCCACCGCAAGGAAGGTGCGGATGGTTGTCAGCCTTGCCACCAGAGAAAATGTCTCAAATGCCGAACTCTATCGTAGGCCTTGCTCATATCAAGTTTTAGAATTTAGAGCAACAAAACCTACCCTACCTTGGGTTTTTCGCTTCAAGAAGTGTTGCATCTCAAAAGTTACCGTGATATTGTCAGTAATAATCCTACCTGGGACAAAGGCACTCTAATTTTCAAATACCAGATTGTTAAAAATGGATTTCAGCCTATTTGCAATGGCCTTAGTGACAATTTTATAAGCCACTGTGCACAGAGCTATATGTTTGAGATCGGCCATGGTTTCTGGTTTGGAATTTTTGGAGATCAAAACTATGTGCGTTTGGTTTAGGCCCTTAAGGAGATAACCAGTTCTGAGAAATTTTTTACATAAACTCACTAAACTCTCCCCAACTATGTCCTAGTAGGTATGAAAAAAGCTTGGGTTTAAGCAATCGATACCTAAGCTTTTATCCGGGTGCATACCAAACGTTGCTGCTCTGACCTCATCCTTTGTAAAATTCCTCAAAAGCAATTGATTTTGCAAATCAGTGACCTTATGGAATTGACACTTGAGCACCGGAATGTGATCACCTGCAGAGCTTGTGAAAAGGTTGATAAAATAATCCTTGATTAACCGGTTCATGTCCTAACCCTGGTTGATCCAGACTCCTCATTATTTCGCACTTGATAATAATGTTTTTTTTTTTTTTTTGCGTCTCTGTGCAACCACCCCATGGAGATATTTGGAATTTACATCACCACCCTTGTACCAGGATGTTTTTGCCCTCTGTCTCCAGAATTGGTTCTACTGCATGCTCCAAAAGTTGAAGGAAAGATCTCTGGGCACTAGAGAATTCATGCACAATAGGGACGTCCGTCTACCTCTAAGCTGCTCCATCTGCTTTCTACATGCCTCAATTCTTCATTGGAGAATTTGTCGCGTCGATATGGTTCGAAGAGAAGGCAGTAATGGAGACATCGACTTCGGCAATTTATATCCTACACCACGGCGCGCGTTGCACTATGCGCCCAGATGCAAAACGACGTCGTTTTAATTTTAATTTTTTTTTTTTTTTGAAATTTCCCGCCCCAGTGAATGGCACTAGTTTTTTCTTTAAAAAAAAAAAACCCGCTGTTCAAGAATGTACATAATGTTATACTAGAATACACATATTTGTATACATGAATGTACATAATTATATAACAAAATATACATACTCTTTTTAAAAGATAATACACATAATCTAACATAATAATAATAAACATAAACTTTTAACATAATACACATCAACTATTAACATAATACACACAAATTTTCTGATTCGGATGTACATAATTGTATAAAAAGAATGTACATAATTGTATAAAAAGAATGTACATAATTGTATAAAAAATGTACATAACTGTATGAACCAATACACATAATTGTATGAACAAATATACATAACTGTGTGAACAAATACACATAATCCCAGCAACTTTCTACTGCGCCTCCCAAAACGACCCCAAAACGACGTCATTTGGGAACCGCGCGGCGCACAGTGCTATGTGCGCCGTGGTGTAGGGTATAACGATTGATCGACTTCCTTCTTCTAGAGTAAAGCTAAGCCACCACTTAGCCCAATGCTAATCAACTATTAGAAGAGATGAATCAGAATAGCCAAGTCAGCAAAGTCAGTTAAACATCACAGTTAGTTTGTTTAGTTTGTTCTTCCTCTGTTAACAGACTACTAGCTTCATGTATATAGCTTCTTCCTCTTCTCTTTGTAAGGTTGATAGAATATACAGATACAAGACACTTTTTCTCCCAAATTCTTTCTTCCAAAACTTCACATGGTATCAGAGCTTTAACGCTCATCAATGGCGTGGAATATGCCTCCCGTTAACACCATCAGACCGCAAACAGGTCCCAACACAATACCTCATCCAATTGCCGCAGATCCTGCTCCGATTCCAGCTTCCATAATTCCAGGGAACACATCGAACACAAGAAATCAAATCAACTTTGATCCAAATGACAACACTAGTCCGTACTATCTGCATATGAATGAAAGTCCGGCATTAGAATTGGTATCGTGCAAGCTGGATGGTAGCAACTATCATGAATGGGCAAGGGCGATGAAAGTAGCTTTGTCTTCGAAGAATAAATTTGGATTCGTCAATGGATCCATCAAGATGCCAAACACAGAAGATCAAAGGTTCTTCTTCTGGGAACGCTGCAATAACATAGTTGTGACTTGGATAATCCGTGTTCTGTCGCCAAGCATAGCAAGGAGCGTCCTGTGGATCGACACGGCAGAAGGAATCTGGAATGATCTCAAGAAGAGATTCAGCAAACAAGATGTGTTCAGAATAGCCGAAATTCAGGCTGAAATTTTCCAAACTAAGCAAGGTAACAACAGTGTGAATGACTATTTCACCAAGTTGAAGTTGCTGTGGGATGAGTACCTCATATTGAGACCTGCACCTGCCTGCATTTGCACTCAAAAATGTAGATGTAGTGAAAATTTCTTGAATCTAGCCAGAACTAACCTTGATAATGACTTGTTATGTGCCTTCCTCATTGGATTGGATGAGAAGTATACTGGAGCAAGGAATCAGATTATGTTGATGAGACCCTTGCCAGATGCAGGTGAAGCTTTCTCCATGATCTCTCAACAGGAAAGACAGTTCTCAATTGGGTTCAACAACCCTATAAATCAGTTTATAAATCAGAATGATAACCTGGCTGGGAGTGCAATGCTTGCTAGGAGTGATAAACACTATCCTAATAACAAATCCAAGTTAGTATGCAGTTATTGTGGCTACACAGGCCACACCATAGAGAAATGCTACAAGAAGCATGGGTACCCCCCCGGATGGAAACCAAGAGGAAAAAATGTGGGATCAGCAAATCAGGTCCAAGGCAGTGTACAGGAAAGCAGTTTGACAGTCAACCAAGATGGATACAAGAAGTACCTTGAATTTCTTGAATACATGAAAAGGGAAAGAAGTACTCCTCTGGACATTGGATGCAATGGAACAACCCCTCAGGCCAACATTATAGCAGCAAATTTTGTTCCTAACAATGAAACAGAAGGTAATGCTATCCCTAAGATCTTCAGTGAATATAAAAGCATATGGATTCTTGATAGTGGTGCCACACACCATATAGTATGTGACAAAAAACTTCTGACTAATCCCACAAAGGTAAATGGAAAATATGTGGCCTTACCAAATGGAAATAAGGCTGCAATCACACACTTTGGCTCTGTTCATCTGTCTAGTAGGCTTGTGCTGAAAGGAGTCTTATGTGTTCCAGTTTTTTGTTATAATCTGATCTCAGTAGGGGAACTGACCAAGACATCAAATTATCATGTGGTGATGCATTCTAATAAGTGTGTAATACAGGATCCACACCTTGGGAGGATGATTGGTACAGCTGAACTAAGAGATGGCCTATATCACCTTGATGTGTCAACATGCTCAACTTTAAATTGCATTCCTGTAGTGAATTCTGTGGGTAGTAATATTTGGCATGCTAGATTAGGGCATGCCTCCCATGCAAAGATAAGATTCTTACAATCTCTGAATGTAAATGTAGATGCTGGAAAAGAGAATGTTTGTGATTGTTGCCATTTGGCTAAACAAAAAAGACTGCCTTTCATTCCTAGTAAATCTTCTACTACTGATTGTTTTCACTTAGTGCACATGGATATCTGGGGACCATATCATGTTAAAACATTGTCTGGACATCAATATTTCCTTACAATTGTAGATGATTTTAGCAGAGCTACTTGGCTGTATCTTATGAAGGGCAAAGATGAAGTGAGACAGCTGGTGCAAGGTTTTTGTGTTCTAATTCACACTCAATTTGGGAAAACAGTAAAATGCATCAGAACAGATAATGGGAAAGAATTTTCAATGCCTGATTACTATATGCAGAAAGGAATAATACACCAAACCTCATGTGTGTATACCCCCCAACAGAACAGTGTGGTTGAGAGGAAGCATGGGCATATCCTGTCAGTGGCAAGGGCTCTTAAGTTCCAATCTGGAGTACCTGACTATTTATGGGGAGAGTGTGTAATGCAAGCAGTCTACATCATTAATAGATTACCATCAGCAGCTCTTGGTAATAAGATACCCTATGAGATCCTATTCAGTAAAATGCCCCAGTACCAACACCTTAAGGTTTTTGGTTGTCTTGCTTATGCCTCAATACATGGGGGTCATAGAACAAAATTCTCACCCAGGGCAAGGAAGTGTGTCTTTATTGGCTAGACAAATGGAACTAAAGGTTACAAGCTTTATGATATGCAAACCAAAGAGGTCATCATCTCTAGGGATGTAATGTTCTATGAAAATTCTTTCCCTTTTCTAACAGATAATGTGGCTAAGGAGATTTTGGATCAGCCAATTATGCCTACTGAGCATGCTGCTAACATTGGTTATGAGCCTATGGTCAGTCAGAATAATCAGAGAGAGCCAAGTCAGCTTGATAATATCATGGAAGAAGTAAGGGAACCTGACACTGCCATTGAAGCTCCTTCACAGCCTCCACCTCCAGATTTGAGAAGGTCATCAAGGCAAAGGGCTGTACCAGCTTACTTGGCAGATTATGACTGTCAGCATGGCAGAACTTCTCCACATAGCATAGCTGCAGTTATATCTCATGATAAGCTGTCTCCCACTTATCAAGCCTTTGTCATGAATATCACCTGCATCAAGGAACCAAAAACTTACAATGAAGCAATAAGACATGAGTGCTGGAAACAAGCTATGGCTGCTGAAATTGAGGCATTACAAGCCAACAAAACTTGGACACTTACTGACCTTCCACCCACCAAACAAGCTATTGGGTGCAAATGGGTGTATAAAGTAAAGCACAAATCTGATGGCACCATTGAGAGATATAAGGCTAGATTGGTAGCCAAAGGTTATACACAAACAGCTGGATTGGACTACCTTGACACTTTCAGTCCAGTTGCTAAAGTCACAACCATTAGGACTTTACTAGCTGTTGCTGCTGCCAAAGGATGGAATTTACATCAATTAGATGTAAACAATGCTTTTCTTCATGGAGATCTACATGAAGAAGTGTACATGACATTACCACCAGGCTTTGTTGCTCCAAAACCAGGAATGGTGTGTAGATTAACTAAATCTCTTTATGGCCTCAAGCAGGCCAGCTGGCAGTGGAATGCCAAGCTTACTGCAGAGTTGATTCAGCTTGGTTTCAAACAAACTATGGCAGATTCCTCCTTATTCATCAGAGGGACAGGTGACACTTTCATTGCTCTTCTAGTCTATGTGGATGATGTGGTTCTAGCCAGCCCAGATAAGTTACAAATACAGAGAATTAAGGAGCACCTCCACAATGTCTTTCAAATAAAAGATCTAGGTCCTCTCAGATTTTTCTTAGGCCTGGAAATTGCTAGAAGCAAGAAAGGGATCTCAGTAAACCAAAGGAAATATGCACTGGAGTTGTTGGATAGCACTGGATTCATGCATAGCAAACCAGTTAAATCCCCTATGATCACCTCAACAAAACTGACAAAAGGGAGTGGCACAATCCTAGCTGACATAACTCAGTACAGAAGGTTGGTTGGCAAGATGTTATACCTCACCATCACAAGACCGGACATCAGTTTTGCAACCCAACAGTTATCACAATTCTTGGATTGCCCCACAGACATTCACCTACAGGCTGCTCATAGAGTCTTAAGGTATATTAAGAGTGCTCCTGCTCAGGGCTTATTTTTTCCAGCAGATAACCAGCTCAGGTTGAAGGGATTTACTGACTCAGATTGGGCTGCATGCCCAGATACTAGACGTTCTGTGTCTGGCTTCTGTATGTTCTTGGGATCAGCTATCATCTCCTGGAAATCCAAGAAACAGCCAACAGTGTCTAGGTCCTCCTCTGAAGCTGAATATAGAGCCATTGCTGCTGCATCATGTGAGATTCAATGGTTGCATTATTTGCTTGACTCTCTGGAAGTGAAACTTGAATCACCTGCTGCTCTATTCACTGACAGTAAATCAGCCATGGCCATCGCTGAGAATCCAGTTTTCCACGAGAGAACCAAGCATATCGAGCTGGACTGCCACTTAATCAGAGAGAAACTGCAAAAAGGGGTACTTAAACTACTGTATGTTTCCTCCACCAATCAATTGGCTGATGTCTTTACTAAGCCACACACTCCAGTCACCTTCAATGCCTTCATATCCAAGCTTGGTCTCCATAATATGTATGATCCAGCTTGCGGGGGATATTAGAAGAGATGAATCAGAATAGCCAAGTCAGCAAAGTCAGTTAAACATCACAGTTAGTTTGTTTAGTTTGTTCTTCCTCTGTTAACAGACTACTAGCTTCATGTATATAGCTTCTTCCTCTTCTCTTTGTAAGGTTGATAGAATATACAGATACAAGACACTTTTTCTCCCAAATTCTTTCTTCCAAAACTTCACATCAACCACAAAAGAATAGTCAAAGCCCAACGTAATCCTAATATTTTCCATCTTCTGCGAATTTAATTTGGTTTCCATCAAAAACAAAATCAAAGGCCTCTTGAATTGGACTAGGTCCAATAAGACTTGAAGAATTGTCGCTTGGTTGTCACACTTCCAAAATATGAGACTCATTGTTGTAGGCGAGCCTAAATAACAGATCCCGCCTCTAAGGGCCCATCCAAAATCATTTCTTCACACACATTTTCTCCTTCTTGGGTTTCAATACTCCCAGAGTCTTCCTCTTTTGTAGCAAGGCCCATACAAACTGGTGGACATAAGGAATAATAGAAGGACCGGTGGGGGTGGATAAACATAAACCCTCTGTTTCCCCGATTAAATGGGGCATTAAACTACTCTTTAGAGGCTCTCTCACGCAATACCTCATTTTTTATGATGAAACCTGCTTCTGACTTTACAATTGGAGTTTGAGAAGCGCATGAGGGTAAATATATATGTTGCTTTCAAATGTCTTTTTCTCTTCAGTTATCACCTGAGACACCAGAAAATGATTAGAATTTCTATGGCACGTGCATTATATTTACCACTCAATTTGTTTCATTCATGTCATCATACTCATTAGCTATGTTATTGACTAGAAAAAGGGATGCACTGAACTGGGAAAGATTTCCACCTAAAGAAAGAGTTGTCTTTGTGATGTAGCTTATGTTGTTACTCGCTTTGTTATTCAAAATTATCCATGCTTAAATTGCAAAACACAATTTCTGATAAATGAAAATTATTTCTCTTTTTTCTTGATTCAAGAAACTGCTATGTTTAGATATTTAGGGATTGATTCATCAAGCTGTGTCTGTAAATAGAAAAACTGAGGAATTGTTATGATATCATATCATGCTTCTAATAAGGAAATTTCAGCATGGGATTTAAACAACTTAAAACATCCTTATTTTAGGAAACACTACTATATATATTCTCTTTGATAATTAAGCAAAGGTTTTTGACAAGTCACATTTTTATTTATTCATCTGGGAAGTATTCAATTCCTTCTTATAGGCTGACATGGAGGAAGCCAAAACTGAAGAAAATGTGAAACTACAGTCTGCTTTGGAAGAAATGCGAGTTCAGTTTCAAGAGACTAAAGAATTGCTCATGAGGGAACAAGAGAAAACAAAGGAGTTTGTTCACATCTTTCTACAATCAGTTAATGTTATCAACTAGTTATATCCTTTAATTAACCCAATCAGCTATCAGCTAAAAGTCATTTACTAAACAGGGCCTATAATATTCTTTGCTGCTATTTCGACATTCCACCTCTCACCACATTTTTTACATTCCCATGCATAATTATGGATACTTCTTATAGGTTTACCAGGACGAAAAAGCCAAAACCCAGGCAAAACTAAAAGCTACTTTGCTTCAGCTCAAACAGGCTACAGAGCTACTCTTGAAGAAGGCACGTGAGCCTGAGAAGAATGCTGACCAGGTTTCTGCTGTAAACGAGACAGGTGATCAGATGCCTGTAGCCACTCAGGTCATGACACCACAAAAATTGGATTTCATGTTTTTGGACTTTTTGTTGGTTTTTCTTACTCATCTTTTATTTTCTATTGCAGCCTTCAGAGAATGGCCATCAGGTAATTGAAAGGCGTGTTACCTCTATCCCATGTTTATTTGACCACTATTATACCCTCTAATTAGCAATTACCAAACACATTTCTACAATCAACAACTAATTATACTCTCTAATTAGCCCAATCAGCTATCAGTTAACAGCCATTTACCAAAAAGGGCCATATTATTCTTTGCTGCTATTTCAATATTCCACCTCTCACAACTTTTAAATTCCCAGGATAGTGCAAAACTACAAGCTACTTTGCTGACCGAGCTACTCTTGAAGAAGGCACCTGTGAAGAGGTCAAGTTTGATGATGAAATTGTCAGTAAGCTTGCTGCTTCTCTGTCTCGTCCTCTCTTTCTGGTGGTCCTTTGACTATATCAATAATATGGTGGGGCTGGGTTTGATGTACTGATTCTATTCAAGGACTTAGTTAGCTCGCTGGAGAAAAAAAATAAATGAGGAAGCCAACAAACTTAATGAAGATACTTTACAAGCGTAGAACATCAAGATTCACACAATATATATAATGCAAAATGAAGAGGAAGATAGCTAAACAATTAATGATATTATTAGGCTTCAGACCATGTGATTTGGTGCTGGCCCTTATATATTCTGGTCTAACCAATGTATCAAAATTGTTCACATTGTATGCATCTTAATTGTCATAATAATTATTAGATTTTATATAGTAATAACTTGGGAGACAGTTTGGGCGCGAAAGTTGTAAAAGTAGGATTTTGTTTTTATTAGTAATATAGATATAGATATAGATTGTACAATAAAATATGGAAGTATTTAATAATTTGTAATTTAATATTGTAATTTTTTTTAATCTACATAAATGCCATGAATCCCATATTCCCATTTTGTTGCATTTATAAAAGTATTATTTATTTCCAGTTCATATAATATTACATTTTTTTTTAAAGTTAATACTTGTAATAAGAATTTTACATTGTTTTTTGTATACTTTGTGTGGGTATATGTAGTTTTCATATTATAAGAACATTTTAATTTTAATTAATTAAATTTTAAAATTTAAATCTCATGTATCTAATAACACAATGTTTTATAACATAATATTTTATAATATGTGGTGGTAGTATGTTCGATGTAATGTTCAATATAAACAATCAATTTAGCATTTCTAAGGAAAAGTACATGCATGTCGCAATTATTGAATTTTGTACAATAAACCTTTATTCTATACTTTCATTGGCTCTGTTTGGCATGTCTAGGTGAAAAACTAATAAGTTAATTAACTGGATGAAATTAAGGTGTTTAGTAAAATTAGATGTTGAATAAGATGATAAGTGTAAAATACGTTGTTGATTAGGAGTTTTTGATGCAATGTGAAGTAGCTTTCTCATTCTCAGCAAATGGTTACAATGTGAAGGACAAACACTTCCAATCACATTGAGATATGCTTGCAAAAATTAAGAAAATGACATCCATTTTCAATTGAGATAGAATAATCCCTTTTATGGAAAGGATTATGGATATTGATAATCAATGAAGGAATATTTAAAAAAAAAAATTAAAGCAAGAAATTAAATAGGTTAAATTCGAGTTTAAAAGTTCGAGCACCTTACTCAAACTTGAGCTCAATTCGAGCCATGTCGAGTCGATCTTTGGCTTGAGCTCGAACACTTGAGCCAATCGAGCCGAGCTTGAGTTGCTCGAAAAAATGATGAGCCATGTCGAGTCGATCTTTGACTTGAGCTCGAACACTTGAGCCAATCGAGCCGAGCTCGAGTTGCTCGAAAAAATGACGAGTCAAACTCTAGCTCGAAATCGACACGACTTATTTGCACCCTTAAATAAAGAATACACAACCGACATTACCGTATATATACTTCAACTCTTCAAGACTAATTATACAATACAATTACAACTCTCTCTCTCTCCCTCCCTTCCTCCCTCCCTCCTTCCTTGTAGAACTATGCTATAAAAGTGACCCTCCTCCTCCTCCCTCCCCCCTCTCTGGTAGAACTATGCTATAAAAGTAAGAAACATGATGGACTATATATAAAAATCAAGAACAAAGACTTTCAATCACATGTTGGATTGTTATTGAAAAAACTAATTTTTGTCTACAGTTAACAGTTAGCAACCCCGACCATCTCAAAATATTGATTTGAAGTGACTTGAATAGGGTTTGTACTTCAACTACTAATGTTGTTTACGAAAAAAGTTTTAAATAATTTATAATTTATTTCTTTTTAATTCAACTTTTAATAAAATTTTATATTTAATATAATTTGTGTATTCTATTCAAACATCAATCATAATTAATTTTACTAATCTTATATATAAATATAAAAGAGAAATTAGATACAAAATCAACATAGTTATACTTGATGAGACTAATAGTTCTTAATTAATATCATAACATAACAACAGTTCATGCATGCATAGCATATATAGGTGTCAATGTTAGTGTCAATTAATATGTTCAACCCAAGCAATTGTAATCACGCATCCAAGTTGGGTTTCCTTCTTTCCTTCTTCGGCCTCGTAGTATGTTGCTTCTTCTTTTTCACCTTCTTCTATTGTGGCATCATAGCAAGAGCGTCCAGGCATAACAACAACACATTTTGGGTCCTTCCAAGGCTTTAACGCTCGGTCCTTAGTCATATTCTGCAACAGTTGAACCATCGGCATTAATAAAATTTTCTAAAGTTGTGACCAAATTCCAGACTAAAATGTGAAGAGCAAGTTCATCTCCAGCTTCACCAATAACCACCAAAAACTATAGGACCATACCATCAAGAAGGAAGGAACCTTTTCCTTTTTTCTCAAAATGAAAATGAAAAAGCTCGCTTCATAAAATTCGATCACATTGAAAATAAATAACTATCTTGAGATATCTTCTCTATAAAAGAAAGAAAAATGGATAAAGAAAAGATAACAAATTGATTATATTCCAGGTAGATTGAATGGAGGCAGCAGCAAGCACTCCTTTTCAAGGTGACAATCTCAAGTACTCATCCCATTTTAGATTGAATGGAGACAGCAGCTTTTCAAGGTGACAATCTCAAGTACTCATCCCTTTTTTTTTACAACTTTTTTTTTTTTGAGTAGTAGTGGTAGCAATCGTTATGCTATGGACCCGTGTCCAGCATGTATTGTGGACACGGTAACGGTGTCGTTAGTGGCACCGTTATCTTCCATTTAAAAAAAAAATTCATATCGCTTCGTTATAGGAGTATATGTTCATAATTGTAAGTTCATAATGTCAGAGCTCTGTGTTCATAATTTCATAACTGTACATTCATAATTCCATAATTGTACATTCATAATTTTCGAAACTCTATGTTCACAATTTTAGAGCTCTATGTTCATAATTTTAGAGCTATATGTCCATAATTGTAAGTTCATAATGTCAGAGCTCTGTGTTCATAATTCCATAACTTACATGCATAATTCCATAACTGTACATTCATAATTCCATAACTGTACATTCATAACTCCACAAACGAATAACGCCGTTAACGGCGAGACAAAATCAATTTTTTTTTTTAACTGGAATGCCGCGTTTTCACTAAAAACGACGTCGTTTTGGACTCGTGTCCACAATATATGCACTGTGGAGATGAATCCATAGCATAATTTGCGGTAGTGGTAGGTTCTAGTCCGGGCAAAGCCCAACTTAGGCCCAGACTCACTTTTTCCAGACCAATTTAGGGTTGGTTCGACTTTGAACCGGCTCATGACCATCTCTACAAGCACATATATCTGTACTGTCCCGTCAAACATGACAAATTGTACCGAAATTTTTGAGATGGGATTAAGAAAAAATATGAAAAACATATACCATAGAACTATAGAAGTGACTGGTGAAGACTCCGGTGAAGGCTCTGGGCGACGCGTCAAGGTGAGATACAGATAATTAAAGAAGTGACTGGTAGGGGTGTAAACGAGTCGAGCCGAGCTCGAACCTGGGTTGGCTCAAGCTCGAGCTCGTTAAGGAAGGCTCGGCTCGAGCTCGATCGAGCTCAACAATTTATGCTCGAGCTCGAGCTCGACAATTTTCGAACAGTTCGAGCTCGGCTCGAGCAGCTCGAACTGTTCGAGCGCGAGTTCGAGCTCGATTTTGACTTCAAATTTGACCTGTTTGATTTTAAATTATGTTTCAATTAAAAATAAAAAAAAAGTATATATTGTCGTATCTTGTCTCCGTGTCGTCGTCGTTGACAGTCTTCCAGACTTCAGAGTTAGGACTTGGGGGGAATGATGGCAGGAGTGCGGGACTGCGAGAGTACTGGAGTAGGGTAAGGAAGTAAAATTTTAATTTTTAATAATAATAATAATAATAATAATAATAATAATAATAATAATAATAATAATAATAATAATAATAATATTATTATTATTATTATTATTATTATTATTATTATTATTATTATTATTATTATTATTATTATTATTATTATTATTATTATTATTATTATTATTATTATTATAAGGCTCGCGAGCGGCTCGTCGAGCCACGAGCATAGGATATGTGAGCTCGGCTCAAGCTCGATAAGTAAACGAGTCGCTCGAGTTCGGCTCGAGCTCGATTTTGACCGAGCTCAAGCCGAGCTTTGACCAAGCCGCTCGCGAGCAGCTCGCAAGCGGCTCGGATCATTTACACCCCTAGTGACTGGTGAGAGACTGAGACTCTGAGAGGAGTGAGAGGTTGAGAGCGTTTGAGTTGAGGAGAGGGAAAGTGAGCCGCTGCGGAAATGAGGGGTTGCGGTCTGATTGTCTGAAACTCTAAACTAAACGCATTTACATAGGATTCGAAATTTATTTCCTAAATTCGGAACGCGAACCGAAATCAGCCTTGCTTTTCCCAATCGTTATATCGTGCACCAGGGCGCACATTGAATTATGCGCCCGCCTTGTCCAAAACAGCGTCGTTTTGTTAAGTTGTGTGGGGAGTTGACGCGACAGAGTGTATGTGTATTATGTTATACAATTATGTACATTCTGTTATACAATTATGTACATTCTTTTATACAATTATGTACATTCGAAATATGGAATATTTTTAAGATTTAAAAATTTATGTGTATTATGCTAAGAGCTCATGTGTATTATATTTTTTTTAAAAAGAGTATGTGTATTATGCTAAGAGTTCATGTGTATTATATTTTTAAAAAAGAGTGTGTGTATTCTGTTATATAATTATGTACATTATGTTATAAAATTATGTACATTCTATTATACAATTATGTACATTCGAAACATTGATTTTTTTTTAAAGAAGTTAACAACAGACACGGAAAACAGAATTTCTAAAAAAAAAAAAATGTACAAAACGACGTTGTTTTGCACCAGGACGCACAATACAATGTGCGCTCTGGTGCACGATATAAATTGCATGCTTTTTTGAGTTTGGCCCATGGATGGTCGAATCCGACCTGAATCGGGGTTGGACGGGTCGAATCCGCGAGAAACTCGGCTCAGGAAGTTTTTTGCCCACCCCTAATAAGGAAGCACAAGCACTTCTCGAGTAGCACTTTTACTATGAGATCGATTTGGAATTGCTACTTATGAGACTAGTTATTTTACATGTGCAATGCACGGAATAGATTTGTTATAATATATTTAAAATATT